GAAGACTACCCACCAGGCTCTATGCTCTGCTCTAGAGAATTCTTTTAAGGGAATTCCTCTGTTCTTCCTATGTGCATTTCTCCCTATTCCCCTACATGGTTGGGACCCTAATTTTGCCCTCTCCATAACTAGGATCAGCATAGCAGGGCTGTGTGGGGTAGGGGACAGGGGACAATCATCATTGAGGGTTCTCACACACATTGTCACATTCATCCTCAATAACCTCCAGAGCAGGTGCCGTGAAAGCCTGAATGGACTGACCACGAGGTTGGGGTGTTGCCAGAGAAGGCTGTATGGCTGCAGAAGACACTTCTGGGTGGCGGTAACTGGATGGACTTACCCCAGTCCAGGTTTTGGCCGTCAGTCTTGCCAGGGACTTATTTTACTGGATTCTGTTGTACTGAACTCATACTAACAAACCCATCCCAGACTAAAGTGTAGAATCAGATTCTGCTTTATTAATTTATAGTGGAATACATTCCTTTCCCATCTTAGGAATGCTTTGGTCACCAAACCCCTTTCCCCATGTCACAAAGCTTCGAGACTGTATAGTTATTAGAAGCTGGCTTGGTGACCTTCTAACCATCAGAACAAGTGGAGGTGGTGGTCATAAGGGCTGCCTCCAACCACAGCAAGGTCTGCTAGACTGTCCTTGCTCACGACAGAGTACAGGTCTCAGGTGACCAGATTCAGTGACCCCCGCCTTCACCCCAAGTACCATCAGATAAATTCTGCCCATGTCTGTCCTCTGTTCCCCCTGGCATTCCCTTTTCTGGTCTCCATGCCAACCACACTCCACCTGTTCTCTCAGTCTATCTCTGGCCACCTTGATAGGACTCCCAGATCCCCCAGGTGGAATTCTGGGTGCTCCCACACTCTCCAGTCGCACACTGTCAGACAAGCTCTTGGTTTTCTCCCACAGGTGATGGATCCTCCCCACTAAGTGGAAATCTCACCCTCAGAGGGCAATCTTATATCCATTTCCTTGGAGCGGAGGTGCTAATGGCCAACGGTGATGATGGCCCTCAGCTCTTGGGCAAGTAAACTGAAGCTGGGAGAAGTGAGGACTCTTACCTACAGGCCAGTCAGGACTCAGATTCAGGTTTTTCCAACTCTGACACCTCTGCTTTCTCTGCTATTCCACTGCTTGTGATTGTTTAGCAGAGCTGATAGGAGACTTTGTTGGAATCACTGAAGGTGCCAGATGAGATATTTTAGGTGGGCTCAGTCCCTCTTCCTCAGCCTAAGTCATCCATCAGTTGCTGATTCAGCCCCATAGGTGACCCCTCCACCCTCTTTCTGGCACCTCTGCTCCTTCACTCTCCTGATTCTGGCTCTAAGATATCTCTGGAGAAGTGGAGGCAAGGATTAAGCACTGCAGCGTGAGTGACACTGTATTCACAAACGTTCTCTATCAACCTTTAGATCTTTTGAACTGGCTCATCTCTGACCTACAGCATGACCTTCAGAACCAGACACTGAAAATTCTGCACCTGCAAGTCTTCCAGGATGGAAGGCAGACAAGCCCTCGAGCCAGGAAGTGAAATTCAGGTGGCTTCCAAATGCAGTGGAAGTGGAGAAGGGAGGGTGTGGAGCACAGCGGGTCTGAGTGAGCAGATGTCTCTAAAGATGAGAAGCTGCCTCAAATGCACCAGACAGGCAAACTGAGACCCCTTCTTATGTTTCAAGGCAATTGAACCCTAAAGAAATCACTGCCCATGGAAACCTCTTACATGCAGGGACAGATTACCCAAAAAGCAAGGTACGCTTATTTGTGCTTACTTACTAATCTGTAGTGCGCAATTTTACCCGTTTTTCATCATATTTTTTGAAACTGTGCACTACAGATTAGTAAGTAAGCACAAACAAGCCCATGCGTACCTTAAACATAAGCCTGTGTGTGCCTTGCTTACTGGTTAATCTGTCCCTGCTTATATGCTAGAAGAAGGGGATAAGAATAACATCCTGCTACTAACAGCCTGGGGCCCTGGTGGTGCAGTGGTTAAGACCTCAGCTGCTAACCAAAAGGTTGGCAGTTTGAAACCACCAACCGCTCCTTGGAAACCCTATAGGGCAGTTCTACTCTGTCGTATAGGGTTGCTATGAGTTGGAATCGACTTGACGGCAACCAGTTTTGAACTAACAGGCTGACCGTGACAAATCAGGTCTTTTAATCATGCGAAGTAATGTTTCAAGGGACGTGCTTTGACCTGTAGAAGTTAAACCCATGTGATAATGAGGATTATGAGATGAGGGTCTATTAAAGTTATTCAATTACCAACCTCCAAGTGAGCCCCATTAGGGTGCTCGCATGGAGTCCAAAGGCCATGACAATTTGTAGGCTCTCTGGCGCAGAGCAATATGCTTGTTGCTGTGGTTGCTTTTGTAAAGGTAGCACTTCTCGGTCTCCATTTCAGAGCTAGAGGTGTTTTTGAACATGACTTACAGATACTGATTTGGGAAGAGCAATCAGATAAAGAACGATCAGACCTCTGCCTTATGTACATGTCACCTAATAAGTATGGGCTGCTAGATTCTTGGCGATAAAGAGGATGCGTGAGTGAGTGGTCAGGCTAACCCTCCACTTGATAAATTGATGAGGCCAATCTTATCTTTTTCTCCCTAGGAATGAAATAAAAAGTGTGATTGCAAAGGTTATGTTTTTAAGATGGATAATGAATACTGCTATAACTTATGTGATACTACCTACGATCTACCTGGTGCTTAGCATGAACAGCCACAGATTACACACACTTAACTTCATTATAATAGTTGATCAAAAAGTAATGTGGACCATGATTCATTTGCTGCTAAGATGATTCCCATGTCACCAGTGGGCACATTCCTTCCTATTACAGTACTTGTTATCCTTTGAAGGACATTCTCTGACATGTCAGTTTCCCTTCCCTGTTACCCAGGTGAAAAGTTAAACCTGAATAGAGGCAGTCATGTTCTGCGGGAGCGAGGTAAAGACAGCAGGAGCAGAGGGCTCTGGGATCACAGTAACCCCCTTGTCTTGGATGTGGGGACTGTATTTGACTTGAGAGGGTCCCCACTGGGTTCAATGATAAAGACCTCCAGGACATGGAAGATTTGTACAAGACTGAAGCCTCCATAATGCATCACAACTCTTGAGGGAGTGGTACTTGTGGAATTGTATTACCTTTTGAGCCTCAAAGACAGAGATGTCCCCTCAGGTGGCTGAACAGAGGCAGCATCCCTAGTGATGTTGACGTATGTGAGCTTGAGGCTATGGGCAAGACATGAGGAACCTCAGCAACACAGGACAGAGGATAATCTCTTATTGTTTGTCCACTGGGAGCCCACTGTGGTAAGGCTTTGGTTCTCATTTAACAAGTAAACATTTATTGAGAACCTGTGTGACAGGTATTCAGCTAGTTTTCGGGGACCCCAAAATGAATAAGCTCGCTTCTCGTCCTTGAAGAGCTCATGGTCTCCTTTGACCTTGTCCTGCCACTCCGCCTCTGGTGGACGGAGGCCTATTTCCTCAGAGATAAGGGGTCGTGCATCCAAATTTTTCAAGAAGAGCAAAAACCAGCAGAACTCATCTTTTCCCGTGTGCCTTTCGGTCTCATGGTTTTGAGCAGAAGCTTCTGGAGGTTAAGCAGACAGACGTAAATCAGAAGAGATTATTTTCTGTCTAGTGTTGGTGAAAACTTGAATTTCAGCCTAAAGACATGCGGAATATAGCTTACTAATTTATGTTCCCTTCAGGAAGCTAAAAAAATAAGAAAAGTTCAATTTCCTATCAGTTACATTGGTTGTGGTAATAAACCTAACCACAACAGAGTGGGCAGATAAAAGCGAAGATGTTCAGAACTTTCCTGTCATCAGCTAAAGGCAAATATTTCAACCTGGCTTAAAGAGGTGCATGAGTCTGTGTGGGTATATTTCAGCTACTTCTAGGAAACTTTTTGAAGCTTAGGAAATGGGTTTTTCCCAAGGTATTTTTTGCTCGAAATACATTCAGTTCTTCAACAACACAGGTTCAAAGTGTCCCCTTTGACCTGCCCTGGATCTATTTAACTTTCTGTCTTCCCCATATTGTTTGCCAAATTCATATTCTCCAGCTTAAAACATTCATTAAAGCAACTGAACTTATTGCCAAATGAAAGGCAGGCTAATGCCTCAGAGAACACGTTTTCAATGGGGGTTTTTTAAACTGCACGCATCTTTTAAGAGTTAGAACTGAATGGAGCCAATTTTCGAAACAAGATAAGCATCTCCCTTCCTTAGCAATCATTCTTCTGGTTATTTTGGGGGATGCTATGCAGCTGGTATGCACTGGTGGGGAAGTTATGGTGTTAAAATAGTGAACTACTTCTGAGCAGCTGGTAACTAGCTACTGTCCCCAACCCCTCAAGACTACCCACTGTTCTAGCTACACTGTTCCCGCCCTAGAGACCACCCCCAGAGCTTCTGGGGACCTCTGGGTCCTTTCCTGATGGACCAGTGCCTATTTAGTCAACTCTTTTAGATATCATTCCTGTTTATATGCTATATATTGTCCTAGGAACAATGATATTAAAAAAAAAAAAAGTAGATTTTTCTTTGCTATACTCTCCTTTCAACACATGATCATGTATTATTCGATGGACACAGCTAAACTGATTAGCTAGTAATAAATTTAAAAACCTCATAGAAACCGTGGAGTTCCTGGGTGGTGCAAACAGTTAAGCGCTCAACTACTAACCAAAAGGTGGAAAGTTTGAGTCTACCCAGAGGTGCCTCGGACGAAAGGCCTGACAATCTACTTCCATAAAACCAGCCATTGACAACCCTACAGAGCACAGTTCTACTCTGACGCACATAGGGTCTCCATGAGCCAGCATTGACTCAAGGGCTACTGGTTTAGTTTGTGAGTTTTGGTATAGAAACCACACATTCATGTGCAAGCGTGGGATGGGGAGAGAAATATCAAAGGTGTGAGAGACAGAGGAGGGAACGCTGGACCACAACAGTCATAAATGACAGCTCACACGTTGAGTGGTAGCTGGACTTTGGGAGATGTTCCCTGCTCTCCAGCCGCTGCACCAGCTCGCGGGACAGCCATGGTGGCGGATCCAGTTGAAGAGGAGGAGTCCTGGAAAGAGATAAGAGGAGGCATGAGTGAGGGTTCCCAGCCGCTCCTCCCCAAGGAAAAGAGAAACGCAAAGTCAGGTCGGACTCGACAGGCAGCTGTGCTTACCTCAGCTGCCCTGTGCCACAGCCTGACCTTGTGGCCTCCAAAATGCTTAGGTCCTGATGACCTGGCTTGTTAACAGTGCTTTTTCAGCCCATTGGAGACACCTTGGCGCCCTGGTGGTGCAGTGGTTAGGAGCTCAGCTGCTAACCAAAAGATGGCAGTTGGAATCCACCAGTTGTTCCTTGGAAATCCTATGGGGGCAGTTCTACACTGTCTTACAGGGTCGCCATGAGTTGGAATGGACTCGACGACAATGGATTTTTTGATGGGAGAGACCTTGGCAGCAAATTACACCTGTCCCTGAAGCAGTTTCAAAAGCCCCTTTTTGACCAGCTTAGAACATCATTCTTTGGTTTGTGTCTGGGATGATCAGCAATTTACTATTTTCAACACGGAAGAAGCAGTACTGGCAGTCATGTTTTATTCTTAGAACTTAAATGAACTATTCTGTCTTTGTTAAAGAAAATCCAGACAAAACCTTTTATGCTATAAAATCTGAACTTATTTAAAACATGCATTCCTAGGAAGTAAAGACTAATCTCCACAGAAAATTGGTCCTTTGGTAGCCAACAGAGGGGCAGGCTGTAAGGGTGCCAGGATTTACAGAGCACAGCATGTCTCATCTAAGACCCTGAGGTACTCAAAGCTTCAAGAGTATATTATACAAGGAGATTACTTGAGGACGGGCTAAAGAGGACAGCCACTTCAAGGTCATGCCTTGTAAACATCGTGTGCGGAAGGCTAAGCTCTTCAAGGGTAGTGATTAAGGGCTGGCTATGCAGTGAAGCCGGCAGAGTATAGGAAACTGAGTCACATGATGATCTCGCAAAGGCAGTTCCTGCTTGAAGAGCCTCATGGACCCAGCCCGTAAGGGGCCAACTTTGTCTCTGACCCCTCTCACCACCCAACTGGTCCATCCTGCCCCATCTCCTCCAGGGCGGCTATCCTATCTTCCTGTTTAGAGGTATTAGATGCTGTAGTGGGTTGAATTGTGTCCCCTTAAAAGATAGGTGGGGGCAACGGTGGTTCAGTGGTGGTTCGCCTTTCATGTGGGAGACCTAGGTTCAATTCCAGGCCAATGCACCTCACGTGCAGCCACCACCCGTCTGTCAGTGGAGGGTTGGGTGTTGCTGTGATGCTGCACAGTTTCAGAGGAGCTTCCAGACTGAGATGGACTAGGAAGGTCTACTGGCAATTTACTTTTGACAATCATTCAATGAAAACCATATGGATCACAACAGTCTTATCTGCAATTGATCATGGGGATGGCACAGGACCTGGAAGCATTCGGTTCCATTGTGCATGGGGTCGCCATGAGTCAGGGGCAGACTTGACAGCAGCTAACAACAAAAGATATGTGGAATTCCTAACCCCTGGTACTTGTGAGGAGCCCTCGTGGTGCAGTGGTTAAAGTGCTCGGATGCTAACCAAAAGGTTGGTGGTTTGAAGCTATCAGCCATTCCATGGGAAAAAGATGTGGCAGTGTGCTATGGGGCAGTTCTACTCTGTCCTTTACAATCATTGTGAGTCAGAATCAACTTGACAGCTGTGGGTTTTTTTGGGTACTTGTGAATGTTACCTTATTTGGATTACGGGTCTTTGCAGATATAATTAGGTAAGGATCTTGAGATGAGATCATTCTGGATTAGGTTGGGCCCTAAATCCACGGATAAGTATTCTTGTAATAGACAGAAAAAGAGAACAGACACACAGAGGTGAAGGCCATGTGAAGATGGAGGAAGAGACTGGAGTTAGGCAGCTACAAACCAAGGAACGCAAGGATTTCTGGCTGCCACCAGAAGCTAGGCAAGAGGCACAGAACGGGTTCTCACTCAGCTTCCAGAGGGAACCAACCCTGCTGACACCATGCTTTTGAATTTCTGGCCTCCAGAACTGTGAGAGAATAACTTTCTGTTGCTTTAAGCCACCAAGTTTGTGGTAATTTGTTACAGCAGTCCTAGGAAACTGATGCAGATGGGGATGTCTAGGGGTGCCTTGAGGAGAGTGAGGTCCACTTCCCACAAAGTAGAGGGAGCCAGGAGTTTCCTTCCTCCCTCAAGGACCCTCATAGACTCCCCCACAGGATTCCTCTCCCAGATGAAAGGGGAGCAGGGCAGGCTTGAGCAGAACACTTCAGAGCTGCAGGTAGCGGGATGGTATCACCTTGGAGGAAGGCAACGATGGTGAGGAGAGGGCTGTGTGGGTGCTGTCCAAGGCTCTGGCTGGGGAAGGTGAACATGTCACGACATTTGGGTCTCAGATGAGCAAAGGTCACGAGAAGAAATCACAAAGAGGGGATGAGAAGTCCACTCAGAACCTGCCCTAGACAGGCAGAACAGCCTCTATAACCCAACTGACCATCACATGACTTCCCTGAGCTTTTGTGAAGGTGCGAGGGGGACATTTTCTCATCAGCTTGCTGACAAGTTCTGACCTTGCTTAGCTCATGAGCTCTACAAGGCAGTGCTACAAGCAGCTTATCGATCCTTCCTGGGTAGTTCATGTCCCTTCACAACTGGGGACTAATGAAAGGTGTCAGAAACTAATGCGGCCCACCACAGCACATCTGCAACCTGTAAGAAATCAGAAACTGTGCTGCTTCTTTTTTAAAAATTGAGTGGCTGGCAGAATAAGAATGTGCAACAGAGAAACGGAGCTTCACTCATGTCTCCAAGGTAACTCGAAATCTCAAAGGACTTCCCATTTCAAGTTCTGACACTTGTGAGAGAAACCTCTGCTGTTCAAAGGTTGCTGAGATCCAGTTTTCACCATGCAGCCCCTCAGCAGATTGCATTCCACTGGCAGACGCACAGAAGCCTCGTCTCCACACAGAGAAAGGCGAAGAGTGTTCTGTGGGAACTGGGGTGAAAGGGGGAAGGGAATATTCCTTCTGGCTACAGATTCTGAAGTCTTCTGTTTGTCATCGTGTTTGTTCCTCCCACCTGCCTGCCTCTGAAGTGAGACTGAGGCTAGAAGGGTTTCCCATCAATGCTGTGTTCACTCTGCTTTATGGGAGTCAACAGATGAGTCCACCACAGCCAGCATGGATTATTCTCCACAGAGCTTCTTCAGGCAAGGGCAGGAGGGCGAGGCAGAGGACAGGGGCAACTCGGAGGGAGAGACAAAGAAAATGAGGCTACCTCACTCCAGTTCCTCCCTCCTTCTGTGTTTGTCTGGGAAGGTGAGATACTCTCCTGAGTATCTACAGCTCTTCTTGTATGGTCATTGAAGAAAGATGTGGGCAGGACAGTAGGGTCAGTCAGTCAGTGACCGTCACTCATACATTCAGATATTTGTTATTGCTGTTTGTTAGGTGCCGTTACTCACAGCGATCCTATGCACAACAGAACAAAACACCGCCCGGTCCTGCTCCATCCTCACGATCTTTGCTATGCTTGAGCCTATTGTTTTTGCCACTGTGTCATTCCATCTCATTGAGGGTCTTCCTCTGTTTCACTGACCCTTCACTTTAGCGAGCATGATGTCTTTCTTCAGCGACTGGTCCTCCTGATAACGTGTTCAAAGTACCTGAGACGAAGTCTCACTATCCTTGCTTCTAAGGAGCATTCTGGCTGTACTTCTTCCAAGACAGATTTGTTCCTTCTTCTGGCAGTCCACGGTATAGTCAATATTCTTCACCAATACCATAATTCAAAGGCATTAATTCTTCTTTGATCTTCCTCATTCATTGCCCAGCTTTTGCATGCATATGAGATGACTGAAAATACCATGGGTTGGGTCAGGCGCACCTTAGTCCTCAAAGTGACATACTTGCTTTTCAACACTTTACATATTTACTGAGCATTTATTAAGTGCCAGGTATAGCAGCAGGCTTAGCACACAGAAGGTGCTGATGGAATATTTGTTGATTACCTGACTGTCAGAACTGGCTCTGGGGTATACTGATGAACAAGCAGACATAGCCCCTGAGCTCACAGAGTTTAAACTCTAGGGTGGCAAGCAGTACACATGTACGTATGCATGTCGTGCAGTTCCAAGGAAGTGTAGGGTGTCAAGGGAACCCATAACAGGGGGGACTTCATGTGTGTGGGGGTGTGGTCAGAGAAGCTTCTCTGAAGCACAGGGTAGAGTTAGTGGTGACCTGATGGTGAGGGCAGGGATGGCGGGGCTAGGGAGGAGGAGGGAACACGTTAGACAGAGAGAGCTGCACAGACCAAGGCCGTGAGGCTGGACCAAGCATGGCACTTTTGAAGACACTGAAAGAAAAGAATAACTGGAATGATGAGGCGTAAGGGCTGGAGCGGCACTGAGAGTCCAATTTGGGTGAGGGCTTGTGGGCCCTGGTGAGGGTTTTGGTCTTTGCCTCAAAAGCAAAGAGACGCCCTGGAAAGCCAGCACGAAATGAACAGCAATAGGATGAGATCCACATCTTTAGGGGACAGCTCTGGTTGCCCTGTGGGGAGTGATGTGGGAGACCAGTTAGGAAGCTCTGAGTAGTTCAGGCTTGGATGATGGGGATGGCAATGGAGAGGGAGAGAGGCAGAGGGGCCTAGATATGTTTAGGAGACTGTTGATACTAACAATAACCCTAACAACAATACCACCTACTCACCCTCATACAGAGCTTACCATAGGCAAGTCTCTGTTCTAAGCATTTCACCTGTAATAATGCATTTAATCCTCACCCTATAAGGCAGGTATTGTTTTTATTACCATTTTATGAAAATGAGGAAACTGAGGCATAGAGAGTTAGGTAAATGGCTCACAATCACATAATCAGTAAGTGGTAGAGGCTGGACTTGAAGTCAGAGAGTCAAGAGAGTCAGGAGGCCATGTACTTATCAACCACACTATCTATACTAGTTTCCTATTGCTGCTATAAAAAATTGCCATACACTTTGTGGTTTAAAACAACAGAAATCTATTATCTTATAGTT